ATTAAATGCATCACCACAGCTGGTTGCGAAGTTATAACCAATTTTGCATCCGTTTTTCACACACGCTAAATTGTAGAATCAAAACTTTCACTTATAAAGCAAGCTGCATAGTTTAAAATAGACTATCTACACCTTTGTTTACCAAAGTCGACTATAGAAATGTAGAGCTAGCTCTCTGCACCCAATTCATCAATTTTTATCCATTTTTAATGCCGATTAAGTTCATTTTCTTTTGCAATCTTTTAAGAGTTTAACTTCACACTTAAATGAATAAATTAATTACTCAAATGTGTTTTGTAATTATCAAAATTATGAGTACAACAATTTCTAAATTAATCAAGACTAATATAATTTTCAAATAATGGAGAGTTTAGTAAAAAAAGAAAAAAACTTGTTTTTTTACTTTAAATTTATTTAAAATTAATTAATTGTTTATTTTAATTAATCATTTTACCATAAAAAATTTCTTTTTATATAGGAAAAAAATAAAAAATCACAACTATTATTAGAACTAAAAATATACATATATAATTAAAAAAAGTGTAAATTTCATTATTTATGGAAAAAAAAAAACAAAAAATAATTTAGAAACTAAAATTATTCAAAATTAGAAGTTCAAAAACTAAAATTAACATTTAAGCAATTAACAAACAGCAGAAATATGATTATGAACAATGGGAAAGTTCTCATCGCTGAGGATTCAAGTTGCGGGTACCCAAGTTTAGAGTGCAACAAAGAAAGCCTCGCAGCATCTCAAACAAATCTCCCACTGTCTAGTGGCAATTAGAAGAATGCCTTCCAGAGGGTATATTAGAAGCCGGAAACTAAACATAGATCAGTGGGAATGAAGAGACAGATTTAAGCATTAATCTCATTCACGTGCGTTCTTTCCAAATCCTGAGTCCTTCACGAAATCACAATTGCCAATTCTACAATGCCATTTCAACATCACTCAAAAAAAAAAAAAAAAAAAAAAAAAACAAAACAATGACAGATTACCAAGCAATCTTTGCAGTGGATTACATCCTTTGTCTTTGCAGTATAAGCTATAAAAGCTACCTGACAACTATTCAAAACAACTAAGCTACATTTATTGTGTTCATTAGACAAGAGAATGGGAGGAGAAAATAGTTTACAGTCTTATGCACCGTATAGAAGAGGCCCCACAAAGTTTCTGGCTTTCAAGTGAAATTTAGCACACCAGGAATGCTTCTGAATCATCAGTGCTGCCGCCAAGAACAGCAAATTATTATTCCTTCAAACATGCACCATTAGAAATCATGTCAAGTTTGGATACTAAAGCAACAAACAAGGTACAAAGTTTTATACTCATAATAGAGTGAATCTGCACATCTGACAGAAACTGGATGATTCAATACACTTAGGAACAGAGTTTTCCATTTCACATTCTGACTTTAAGAAGTTCCAAATCCTCTACTTCATAATGCATAAGCAAATTACTAGATAACAAAAGAGAAAAGACAGAAGAATATAATTACTAAAGCAATTATTAATACCTAAACTACAACTCAAGTCTGAGTATTTCAAAAAATTTTCACAATGGCAATACTATTGAAAATACTTGCACAACCTAAATTGTGTAGGTTTATTTATTTATTTATTTTTACTGCAGCAGAAATGAATCAACCCCTTCTGGAAGAAAATTCAACCCTGGGGTCTCCTAATAACAATGTTATTTCAGCCTTGTACCAAAATAAGCGTAACAAGTCAGTTTAAAAGAACAAGCTTTTGCATTCAACAGCTGTGTAATGGACTTGACACCATTCAATTTATTGAGTGAAGATCCAATGTTTTATCTAACCTGATTGTTTGAAGCTTGACCATGCACTCGGTGAGGCTTCATGTTCAAATCAATCATTTTTGTTTCCATTTTTGCATGCCCATCAGCATTAGCTTCTACAGCTCGAACAGGAGAGACCCTGTGATTTTGCTGGTTTTCTCCTGCCATGAGTTTTGCTGACTGATTTTGTCCTCCTCTAATCTCCTCTGTGTCTACAGGCTGTGAAGGTGGGTCCTCAGCATTACCAGCTTTATCTCCTGGAAACTGAATAGAAGCCAAAGCAAAAAAATTTGCAACGGTAAACTTATGTTCCCCAAAGGATTAATGACCTAAATCTCTTCATAGATGAGTGACCAACCTCCACTCTCTGCCTTAATAAAAGATATCTCCCATGAGTTCTTTTACCTCCAACATGAACAATCATATCACATTGCAAACAAAGGGAACTTCCATCTATATCGCAGTAAAAGAAAGCTACAAGCAAGTTTCCAACTGAAACTATGAGCTTGACAAACCTCAATAGAAACAGATACAGATAAAGTAACATTTCCATAATGAAAAAAAAAAGAAAAGAAAGAAAAAGGAAGTAACATTTCCATAATAAAAGAAAAAGGAAGAGTGCCAAAGACAAAAAGAGACCTGCATACCAGGTGCATTTTCACATATGTCACAGCGTGGAACATCACTGGGATTTGCCAGACCAACCCGGACATGTCGGCTAGCGAGCTTATTGCACAAGTGTACCTGCCACAATGATCAATTGCCCGAGAATAAGCTTGGACTTTATGCACGATAGATCATTTGACAGAAAAAAAAAAAAAAGTCTTAACTTTTTACCAGAATACATTAACAAGCAGAGTTTAAGACTTCTAGGAGGAGAGGTATATGTAATCACAGTATCCTGCATTTGATACTCTTAAGTGGTACTCTTTTGCATACAGAGAAGACTTCTTATGATATTAAGTATCAACTTTTCCTCAACATAGATTAGTACAGTGCACAAGGGATGAATTAATTCCAAATAATTTTGTTGAATTCATTAGCAAGTCCAACAAATTTGTAAAAATTAAGCAGAAAATCTGTGAAAAGGAACAATCTTGGTCAATCCACTGAGTGGTAGAGGTAGCCAGGACTGAAAGAACTTCAATTTCAAACAACTTTGAGTACCAATCACTATACAGATATAACAGCAACTTAAGATTAAGAACAGTAACTTAAAAAAAAAAAAAAAAGAAAAAAAAAAAAGAGTGAGTAACATTCCAAATTGTTCCCAAGTAGAACAGAGAGACCCAAAATGAAACCCAACAAACCAACAACAAAGACATCCCGAATCATTGTTGTAGGTTAATTAAGTACTAGAAATCAACCTTCTCATCGCAGGCACGGCAAAGAGCAGCCTCATCGGCGGCACAGAACACAACAGCAGCAGCACTCTCACAGGCGTCACAAAGGGTTCGCATAATTCTCTCCCGCTCTCATCATCCCCCAATCAATCCAAAAAAATTCTCAATCTGCACAAAATACCCCATCACAAAGAAAAGAAAAAGCCAATTGTATTCAGTCACTGCACTGTCTTGTTACACAAAACGAAATTTCGTTGTTGGGGGGGTTTTTGGTGATAATGATGATGATGGGAAGGACTAAGATTGGTGGTAGGGATAAAGGTGGAAGCTTTGTCTATGGAGAAGACTGTAGAATGACAAATGAGGGGATATAATAAGCAGAAAAATCTGAGACAAAATACAATGAATGAGAGAGATTGGAAGTTTTGGTTTTTGTCAACTTCTGGTTTGGTCCATCCCCCTTGCTCCCTCCGTGACCACAAATTTTCATGGAGCTTTGATGTGTGGGGTTGAGAAGAAGCTGAAGGCCTCCTGGTTCAATCTTGCCCACCACTCACATATCCCACATGGGCCCTCTTCCTCCTACCTTCTCTTCCTTCCGTCTTTCTTCTCTTCTCTCTCTCTCTTTAAGCTGGATCCCATATTGAATACTACAGT